TTTGGAGGAAGCATCATCTCCCTACCATGTGACCCATCAGAATTGAACATGGGGTCAATAAGTTTGAGAAGGCTTAGGAGTGCTAAAGAAATGCCCCCTTTCTCTTACCAAAGCATCTTGGCCTCCTCAGCCCTCCCCATGGAAGTGTCAGGATGGTGCTTTATGATGTCTAAGTTTCTCTCCCAGAGCTACCATTAGCTGGCAGAGAGGATTCCTGATTAATTAAAGCCTAGGGGGTGTGGCCTCTCACTGTCCTAGAGAAAAGCATATGCTCAAGAGGCCTGGGTTAGGGCCCTGGGAAATTTTGACATGGTGAAGATGACCAGGTAACCACAAACTCCTAGCACAGTTATGTAACAACCAACCCCATTCACCAAAAGAAGGTAAAAGAGGAAGAAGCCCTGTTAACCCAGGTCTAGCTCACCCCATAATTTTTCTCATGAAGACTTTTTTCCCTTTCATCCCAGCCATTTCCTCACAAAACAATGTCCTTCTGCACTCACTCTGTTGTCCTTCCAGGTACTAAAGACATCAATGGGGGTGAAAAGATGTCTTTAAGGGAGTTCAATGAAAGGAGCCTTTCCAAAAATTCCTACCCCTTCAAGAAAACCTACAAAAGCTATACAGCCAACAATATGTGGCCATGATCACAGGTCAAATGAGGAACTGAATCAAAATGATCCAGAAAAAGACCAAGACAATGTAGAAAAATTCACCACCTCGAGTGATAACTTGGGCAGCCAGTAACTTCAGAGCAAGGCCAAAGACCTCAGAACTATCTATGACATTTCTGAAGTCTGGCCCCCAAGAAATGCTGACAGTGTGGAAGTCAAATTTTACACCTACAGGGTACACCAATAGTGATGATTAAGATAAAATTGATAAGTGGTTCACTTCCAGTGTAAGCATAATCTGCAAACAATTTTTATTAAATTGATTGGGATAACATCTATACTAATAAAAGCATAATATGCTAATTCTACCGGGAGACCTTCCAGGAGACCTTCTAGACATAATTCTGGACAAAGCCATGGTAGCGGGGCCAAGGAAGAGGCAGTTAGGGGCAGTCAGGCCAGGAAGGGAGGGCAGTTGTGGTTGATCAGGCCTGCAGGGGAGGGCAGTTGGGGGTGAGCAGGCCGGCAGGGGGGGCCAGTTGGGGCCAGCAGGATGGCAGAGGGAAAGCAGTTGGGGGCAAGCAGACTGGCTGGGGGACAGTTGGGGGCAATCAGGCTGGCAGGGTGGAGCAGTTCGGGGAGATGAAGCCGGCAGGGGGTGGCAGTTGGGGGAAATCAGGCCAGCGGGGCAGGGCAGTTGGGGTCGAGCAGGCTGGCAGGGGCCACAGTTGGGGGCAAGAAGGACAGCAGAAAGAGTGGTTAGGGGCAATCATGCAGGCAGGCAGGTGAGCGGTTAGGAGCTAGCAGTCCCAGATTGCGACAGGGATGTCTTACTGCCAGTTTAGGCCGTCAGACACCCCCAAGGAGTGCCAGATTGGAGAGGGTGCAGGCCGGGCTGAGGGACATCCCCCATGCATGAATTTTGTGCACTGGGCCACAAGTTATCATTATGTTTCTTTGTCCAACCATTTTAAAGGAGGAAAAAAGAAATAAAGTTAGTATGTCTTTTGCCATAGAGTCCCCAAACTGTCATATTTAGTAATAACTAAGTACTGGAATAGAACATGAACATTTATTGTATTAACTGCCAAACAAATATGACAATAACTTCGTACAGAGTATAAGTTGTGGCTGAGAGTCTTGAGGGACATCTCAGCAGCAGAGGTCCCCCTTAAGTAGTGTGGGGCCTCAACCCCGTTCTGGGCTCCCAAGTCTGAAGCACTGGAGCCAGAAAGAGGAGCATTCATAACATCTGGCTGTGAAAATCAGTGGAGATTCTGCTCATCACAGAGGGACAGGAGTCTGCTAGAAACCCAGGCGCCCTCTATAAGGGCCAACACACAAAATCTGTTTTGTGGTCATTTACCCTGAACTCCATCAGTGGGACCGTGGTTCAGAGTGGACTAAGATTGTGCAAAGAGAGACGGGGTTGTGTGGCTCCGGTGACAGAGCTGAAGGGACAGTTGCCAGGTTCCCTGTGCTGAGCCCCTCTGACACACTGCCCACAGCACCATCTTTTCTGTGTCAAGCACTCTGCTCCATATTGCATCAGCCTGGAGGAACTCCGGACTCCCTGTTGCTCTGCCTAGTTACGATCATGCACTGTGAGGGAGACTGCTGCCTGAGCCCATAGTATAGACTTTTTAAAAAAATTTTGTTTTATTGCTTAAAGTATTACAAAGAGTATTATACATGTCTCCTTTTTTTTCCCCTTCTTGACATTCCCCGGCTTCCCCTATCCCCCAGTGTCTTATGTCCATTGGTTATGCTTATATGCATGCATACAAGTCCTTCGGCTGATCTCATATCCCCCCTCCTGCCCCCCAACCCTCCCCAGCCTTCCCACTGTAGTTTGATAGTCTGTTCGATGCTGCTCTGCCTCTGTATCTATTTTTGTTTATCAGTTTATAATAATCTTTATTATCCATAAATGAGTGAGGTCATGTGGTATTTTTCTTTCATTGACTGGCTTATTTCACTTAGCATAATGCTCTCCAGTTCCATCCATGCTGTTGCAAATGATAAGAATTCCTTCTTTTTTACAGCAGCATAGTATTCCATCCTTCTCTCTATAACTGAGCCATTAGCAAAAAGTACAGGGTAGCAGAGGTGTGTCTAGATCTGGTTCTAAAATTCAAGACTCCATTATAGACCATTTGATAGTTCTGTCCTCTATTAGCTTTAAAACCCATTACATTGGTGTTTCTGTTTTCTTGGTATATATTCCTAGAAGTGGGATCACTGGGTCAAATGGGAGTTCCATTTTTAACTTTTTGAGGAAACTCCATACTGTCTTCCATAGTGGCTGCACCAGTCTGCATTCCCACCAGCAGTGCACGAGTTTTCTCTTTTCTCCACATCCTCTCCAGCACTTGTCGTTTTATGATTTGTTGATGATAGCCATTCTGACAGGTGTGAGGTGGTATTTCATTGTTGTTTTGATTTGCATCTCTCAGATGATTAGTGACTTTGAGCATGTTTTCATGTCTCTTGGCTTTCTGAATGTCCTCTTTTGAAAAGTGTCTATTTAGGTCCTTTGCCCAGTATAGACTTTTTTGAAAGGTTCTTGAGGGTGAAAGCAGAAGGTATCAAAGACTGAGTTGAATGGTTCTAGAGTGGGACCATTTCCCCCCTCCTCCTAATTACCTGCCAGAGCAGCAGCAACCCAGTCTGTATACCACAGCAGCACTGTCTCACCATAAGGTAAACACTAGCTTCACTCTCCTGAATCCCGTTGGCCCCTCCCTGCTAGGCTTGCACTCAGGAATATTGTTAGCTGGCTGTGGCCAGCCTGAGCCCACAGTGCAAAATCGTTTGGAAGACTCTTGAGCAGATATGTGCAAACTCTGGGAAAGACAAAGTTGTGTGGCTCTTGGGTGAGGGTTATATTTCCCTCGCATGTCCAATCAACACCCCGTTTCTGTGCAAAGCCCTCCCTTCACATGGCTAAATCTTGGTCTGTTTGGGACTAATAAACATTGCTGACCTCACCCTGATGACTTTCTGACACTCAATCCTACCACAAAGGTCTGTGGGCACCCAACTGGTGGCAGCTGGCCTTGGTGTGCTCTTAGACTATTGCTGAGTGTCCTCAGACTCAGGACTGGTAGGGAGTTTGAACTTGTATCAATCTGGTGAACACTATTCACTCCTACATGGTGACTCATTGAAAACCTGTCCTCACTTAACTTGTGTACTACCACCAGAGGCTCTTCCAATGATGGAGCCTGTCAGCTAGCAGATAGAGGCAGATTTTGGATGCCTTGGGCCTTTTGTTGACCTGCCCCCATGCTCAGTACTGGTGGAAACTGGCCTCAGTGTGTAACTTGGCCACTTCCATGAATACCCATGCCCAGCAGAGCACCCACAAACTGTGGATCACTTAGTAGCTCCAAACAGGTGGCCCAGGGACAGACACAGGCAATGCCTGACATTGAATGCACTGGAGTTCCTTTCCAATGGCCCCAGAATCAACACAACTGGTGGCAAGATACAGACCACATCAGAGCATGACCCAAATAGATCTATATGCTGCACATACAAAAGTAGATCTCAGCAGGCACCAGAACCTGCTGGAGTGAATTCTGATTTCTGGGATTAGCATCTGCACAAAAACTCACAGTGTGGTTAGGGTTGATTCTCATAGTCAGCTAGTTAGAGAGGCAACCTCATCCATGGATAGGCCAGCAGAAATCAAGATAAAATTACAACAGGAGAGTTCACATAACCCACACAAGGGACATGCCACTGAGGCCCACAGACACCTACTACATAAAGACAACATACCAAGACTGGAGACATAGCATATCTACATAATCTACAGAAGCAAATATAGAGAAGCAGCCAAAAAATAGGAAGACAAATAAATATTTTGCAAATAAAAGAACAGGAAAAAGCCCCCCAAAATAAACAAAATAAAATGTAGGCAAGCAAGCTACCAGATATAGAGTTCAAAAAATTGTTATAAGGATGTTCAAGGAAATTAAAAGAAGATGGATGAAATCAGTGAGAATTTAAACAAAGAGAAAGTAAATATAAAAAGCAAATAAAATCCATAAAAGAGAACCAGTCAGAGGTGAAGAATACAATATCTAAAATGAAGAACACACTAGAAGGAATCAACAGCAAGCTAGATGAAACATAGGATACAATTCGTGATTTTGAAGACAAAGTAACATAAAACACCCAATCAGAAGAGCAAAAAGAAAAGAAAAATAATTTTTAAAAAATGAGAATAGTCTAGGGACATTTGGGAGAACATGAAACATAACAACAGGCACATCATAGGAGTAACAGAATGAGAAAAGAGAGCAAGAGATGGAGAACCTATTTGTGAAAAAATAATGATTGAAAACTTTACAAACCTGGTGAAGGAAAAGAACACAAAAGTCCAAGAAGAGCAATGACTTCCAAACAAGAACCCAAAGAGCCCACATCAAGATACATCATGATTTGTGGGAAATCACCACTTTCAGTCTGGAGATGACCTGGGGGATGGCAAAGAAGAGTCCAGAAAGCTGAGCGAATTTGTGAGGAGACCAAGACCACAAGAACACCTGAGAATGTTTTCCTTGCCATGCTAGCACCCATCAGTTGTGCGGTAATACTACCAGGGGCAAATGGGGAAGTATATTGGACTTATGTTCCTGACCCTCCATGAGTAAGACCCCTTATTTGGGCTGATCCTCCACCTAGTGTAGTCACCAATAATACCAAGCACCTTGGTCATCCAGGGGGACCACAGGTGGGACAAGAAGTATCTGGGCGAAATATAATTACATGGGTGTCATCACCCAGTTTCCTTTTTGTATGACACAGAATCCAACTACTGCTCCTTTGTATGTAGAATTAAAGAAAGGTTTCTTGCTAGCATGGACACCAAAGGAGAGAGAAGCAAAAGCCCAAATACATCTACTATCACTACTCTGGGAGAGGTACAGAAAATGTAACATTACTAAGACATCTCCCCACTAAGCCATTATGTAAAAAGTCTTATAAATGGCACCCCGCTGAGGAAGAAATTAATTTGCAAGACTGTTATAGTGACCACCCCACCAGCAGCAAACTTAATAACTGTTTTTCCTTTGTAGATTGGAGCCCCTATGGGTCTGCATATAGCAACATTCGCACCCTGAAATGGAAGGGGACTGCATCCTAACTACATGTTGAAGCTAATCACTCCATCTCATGACATGGAGGAGAATTTGTTGGATCTCAATTAAAACATGATAATTGGCCCTTACAAAATACGCAATGGAAATTAGCTGCTGCACTTGCACCTATAAAATGGTATAGTTTTAATTGTAACTTAAATAATTGCATTTGTACCTTATGGGGAATTCCCAATAAGACAGTATTTGCCACCATTTGTGTATTTGATCCTTTTGTACTCCTCTTAGGCCCCATCCAGATGTGCCTTAATGTAACAAGCCATTTGTATGAGGTATCATGCACAGGCTGCACACTATCCCATTGTATTAATTCTACATTCTAAAAAGATTCCCTCATGATTTTAAAACAACCTGCTTTTGCTTGGGTTCCGACTAACCTAACCTAGCCTTGGGAATCTCATCAAACCTACCAACTGTTACATGACCTGGTAGACAAAAAAGATTTCTTGGAATATTAATTGCAGGACTCTTTGCTCTAGTATTGCTACTTACTTCTGTGGGAATTGCTTATTCATCCATGGTACAGTGTTCAAATTCTCAGTTTGTACAACAAGTTAAGAAAAATGTAACTAAGACCTTGTCTATACAAAAAGGAATTGACAGTCAGTTTCAGATAGAATTATCAGCACTAAAATCTACAGTATTATGGATGGGTGATAAAATCCACAGCCTAGAGCAAAGAATGTCTTTAGAAGTGTTATTATAATTTTCCCCAGATTTGTGTTACCCCTCTTACCTATAACAGTAGCTTACACCCTTGGGAATCAATAGAAAATCACCTTCTTGGTGGTTGGGGTAAAGGTAACACAACCCTTGATATTTTAGAATTACAACAGCATATTGTACAATTATCCCAGGCAAACTTACAAACTAGTTCCTTAGATGCCTGGCAGCAATTTAAAAAGGACATGAAAGAGTTTAATCCCTTTCACTGGATCTCCTTACATTTGCCTCTTAGCATAACCACTATTGTCTCTCTCATTCTTGTTCTTATATGTATTTTTCTAGTCTACAGATGTGGAATGAAGAGTCTTAAAAGGACACAAGCCCTACAGATAGCATACACATTTCAAGATTTATTAAGAAAATAAAAAGGGGGAGATGCGGGATCCACAGCTTTTCCAATACTGTCATAAGCGTCCACCAAGGAATGTGGAAGGTTGATGGACCTTGGGCATGAGCAGGCTGATGCTAAGCACTGATTGTTGAGATAGTGGTGGCTAGAAGCAATTTCCTGACCCAATAGCCTCAAAATAAATGTTTACTGAACCTTACTTATCTTTAATGATCTTTATTGACTTTAGAGATAGTCTGTCTGCTACCTGTTTGCCATGCTTTACTGAAGGCAAGATGTGTATCTAAAACTGAATAAAAAGCAGATAAGGCCAGGTTTCAGTGTGCCTCTCCAAGAGAGAGGTCTCCACCTGACCCCCCCATGCCTTCTAAATTCATATTTATTGTATAGTATTTTCATTTGCGCGTCAGCCCATCCTTCAGATCCTGAACTCCCTCTGCAAATAATTAAAATTCCAAAGGTAAAAGACAAAGAAAGAATCTTAGAAGTAGCAAGAGAAAGATAGTTAGCTACTACCTACAAGGGACTTCCCATAATGCTGTCTGCTGATTTCTCAACAGAAACACTTCAGGTCAGAAAGGATTGGCATGAAATAATCCAAGTGATGAAAAAACAAGAAACTACAACCACTAGAGGAAGTTAACATTAAAATATAATTTTTTATAGCTTGCTTGCTCATTTGTTTCTCATAAGTGTGTATTCAATATTTTACATTCTCCTGAATTTCTTTGTACTATTATTATTTATGTACTTATCATTAAATAACAATGGTATTATTTTGTATTTTTCAATCTTTAGATAATTATTGTTAATTTTATTATATGTGTGCAAATATGTATACATATATTTAATATTTAGAGCAAAGAAAATAGTTATTATGTGGTTAAATCTTACCATTAATTAACCATACAACATTACAAACATCATAAAATTGAAAAAACATAACAGAAAAAAGAAATAAAATATATAATAGCATGTAAGTCATGAGGGGTAAATGGAGCTAAAGTGCCATAGGATATTACATTGAGTAGGAGAAAAGTGAAAATACTGTTTAATTTTATTCATTGATAAGTAAAATAAAAAAGTTAAGTAAAGAAAATATACAAGTAAATTACCAAAATTGAAGAAAGAGTAAATTTATTTGATCATAACCAATTGATAAATAAATTACCATAAAAACAAATGGGTTCCTGATAAATAAATTCTTATGTCCAGAACAGAAGTGTTCCTGAACACATTTTACCAAATATTCAAGAATAAGTAACTTCAGATGTTCTCCTATGGAGCTAGGTAACCAGGACCCCAAAATATGATTTGGAAAGTACAATAAAGAAATCACAGGAAAATTACATTGATATCTACAAGGCAAATAATAAATATTAGCAAAACCTTTTCAGTTTTGTATAATAAGCTTCATGTATAAAACAGGATTATTCCAGGAATTC